AATAAATATCACGTACAAACAGATGCCCAAATCAATCCATTTCACTTGTTTTTTCATCACAATTTATTTCCACTCTTGAACAGAGATGGATCACAGTATCAAAAACCCACCATTCTTAAGCATACGATAAGTTCAATCATCAACCGCAACTAGTAACCAAATCCTACCAAGGCCAGTTGATTGCAATACAGTACATATAATAAATCCGGTAAACAAAAAAATTACCCACTTATTTACAATCTTAACTAAAACCATCAACTAAGTACCAGCAGTGGGCAATGCCGCCATAAACGAGTTGTAAGACGACTCCAGATCAAAGTGAAGTTGTCGAGCCTGTTGCTCAGTCAGCTCATCAGCAGCACCCATTTTTGACAGCCTAGCAATCCAATCTCTCATCTTTGTCTTCCCCTCAAAATCAGGCGGTAAGATTGTCAGCTTGTTGAGTGAAGCTGACAAATCCGACAGCAATGGGTGGACCTGATCAACTGCAACCATGTTCAACTTTAACGAATCCATGGCTGTAATAAAATTCTGCACACACTCAGCCACAATGGCAGCTGAGGTAGTGGAAGACATCGCAGCAGCTGCTCGGTGCTCAACTGTGGCCGGAACCCCTGATGTCACAAGTCTGTTGAGGGCAGCTGGGCAGTCCATCTTGTAGGTATCATGAAACCGCTCAATGCTTGGGACTATATCTTTCAATGTGGAAGACAGGGTTTTGAAATGAGCAATCAACTTTTGGCATTCAGTTTCATACTCAGCAGATGAAATTATATCGCGCACATAAGCCTTCTCAAGTTTCTCTGTTGCCTTTATAATGGCAAACAGCTCCGCAAAATTCTCATACATCTCTCTTTCGCGCTTGTCATTCCATAGCTTAACCTCCATCTAAATACAAAAATTAGTCTAAGAAATCGGGTTGGAGAAGAGAACAGGACACGCGCAAAGAGAGCCGAACTCTTGTAACTGCATCATAACCAAATCCCACAAATTTATATAAGCATAAAAACAAGTTCAACCTCAAGAATCTCACGACTAAATTATAATTAAAAAGCAATTTCCAAAAAGTCAACATCTGATAACCGACACATTAGCACAGTTACAGAGAAATGAAACCCAAAGAAGAAAATTCCTAATTTCCACGATGCATCGTACATCCAACCTAAAAAATATTCAAATACATACAAATATACAAGTAGATATTGGAATATTGACCCTATTCTTTGGCGATTCATTTTCATAGCGAACTCATAAGAATAATCAGCACTGACTCTACCTAAAATTAACGAAACTTTGTGTCAAATACCCAAAAATTAGACATCGGATCGAACTTCAAAAGCCCTAATTTCATAATCATAAATGTAAACACACATCGACATAAAAATACTCGAACACGACAAACCTAGAGCAAGCATACCTCAAAAGATCGATAGCATTAGGATACAGAAAATTCAAACAAATAAACAAAATCCCAT